CCAGAATTATATAAAGAATTAGCGAAAGGAAGAAGTTTATCATTGAAAACATTTTCTCTTTGGGTTCTTATTTCAGTTTATCAAGGCAGTGCAATTATGTATGGTGCATTCGTGCTATTTGACGATGACTTTATTCATATTGTTTCTATCACATTTACTGCATTGATTCTTACAGAATTACTTATGGTTGCACTGACAGTAAGTACTATTACGTTTTGGAAAAACTTTAGAAATAAGGAATTAGTTATTTTAATCATGAACAAAAGTAACGAGTAAGAGACACTTTATATGTGCAGACTAGCAAAATGTTTAGTAATGATTTGTTTTTGCGTATTTATCCTTCAGTTATAAGTGTGTTATTACCTCTTCGAGGCATCAGTGAATTAGGATGTTCACTCATCGTATCTCGATGTACTGAACTACAGTTCTCTTTACTCTTGCTCATTATTATACATCATCTAATCTATCATTTCATGAAACTTTTCAATAGTTGTTGCTTTTCTTGACTATAAATAAAAAATCAAAGCGTAGAACAGAATGTCTCGAAATCTTTATTTTGTTAAATAGATTCGAACGTGGCATATATTAATGGTTATTGGTGAATTCTTAAGTTTTACTTGTTATATACTCTCAATAGTTATTTTTCAAAATTATTTTGATATCCGATTTCTGGAATCATGGTCTTTCATATGGCGTGTTGTAACTATCACAGTCATATCATGTTTGCCACTTTATATTCTCAAATACGTGCAAACACAATTTAAACCACCAATTCATGAAAAATTGAAGCAATATTCCACACTTAAATAAATGATGAATATCATTTTCTTTTGGGTTCTTGTTTTAGTGTTTTTTAATTTTGTTCTATTTTTCGAAAGATAGTTGTTTTACTGAATAGATATATGTAAGTGAATTGAATTATCTTTTATTTATATCAATTATTTGAATAGTTCATACGGTGACGATAGTCATTTCCATGTTTTCTTGCCATAAACATACGATGGAACAAAAGAAATTTTGTTTTCGATACGATTGGTTTGCCTTGGTGAAAAAAAACATTGGAGAGCTGGTCGGTGCTGCAGTTTGTAAAGTACTGTTAGCTGTAACATATTATATTTGGTAATTCATATAAAGTTGCATTCATACACTCTAGGAACTGATCGAGTGTAGTTTTCTCATTCATATGACTTCTATACTTGACTTGAAGTATTCTAAGCCACCGTTCAATTTCATGCACTAAATTTTCACAGTACAATATTATTACTATTGCCGTTATTTTAATCTGAACTTAAATGCGTCAGTGACGATGTTTTTTGTATGAAATTTTGAAGTAAATAATGCAATCCGTTACGATCACTATTGAATTATTTCAAAATTTTCAAATGCCCAATCATAAGATCTTCAAGTGTACTCCTGTAGCTGAAAGTTAATTTGAAAACTTTAATTGTCAAAAGCATCCACCAATTGGAGGTATGAAATCGCTTGAGAACATTAATTAGCACATTAGTGTTTGTTGTATTTGGTATGGATGTGCAGCTTCTAGCCGTTTGTTATGTTTTATCCATAGGGTTTTTATCGGAACGATACACTCCAATAAGATGATTTCCGCAAATTGATAGTTTCAGAGTCGAAAAATAATGGAACTTAATCGCAACCAATAGGAAAGCCTCGGTAATGGTTGTTTTGAGACGAAAAGAGCTACAGTTTGCCTAGAATTCACTAAAACAAATTCCATCTCTCTATGGTGGTGTTTTGTTAGAACTTGATCGTACGTTGTGAGAACCTTTGGTATAGATATGCTAGATTATTCTGACTTTTTCTAACACACGGACTCGACAATAGCGTATGTTTTTCTTTTCATGCACTATTCAGAAGGATGTATCTTATAAATAATGCTTGAAGAGAGTCCTACGATATATCGTTTTTCTTTCAGATATGGATGTAAGTGGAGAGCATGAGGCATTACAGGTAGGTAGGTCTTCCTTTTTTCCGTATTCTTTACTTCACACAATTTTGGCCACCACCGAGAAATAATGAAGTTTATATTCAACCAGTAGACGCGTAACTCTTCATACGGCATAACACTATTTATACGAAATTTATGACTGATGAATAAATTGGAACACATCGCAGTATTTCTATCAACAACATGATTCTGTATGGTACTTTTTCCAGTGTACTGACACGGGTTCTTTTCAGTTGTCCTATTTCGTTTTCAAAATTGAACGATATTTTTAGACCAAATGTCAATAATTGTGCCTAAAGTTAATACACGTCGCAACTTTTGCAACATATTTGTTTGTGTACTTGGCATTTATGTGAGCAGCGCCAATAAAAATAATATCGTTAAAGTGAAATTTTGTCGATTGAGTATAGCTGTTCGAACTGGTCATTACAAAGTAACAATGAAATTAAGTGATATACACAAATATTTCAATGATTTACATTTCGGGACGGCTTTATCAATTGGAAACCCGTCGATTTCCGTAGCAATGCCAGTACGGTTGACACTAACTCGTTTTGCATGCGAACAGACACTGTTAAATACGTTGGGTATTTATGCAGATTCATCAGGTGGCGGCGCAAGTGCCTATATTAATTGTCAAACAGCTGCAACTAGTTGTACAGGATCTGCTTGGGCTGGTGAAATCAAAATGTCATCGGGTGCGGGTGCGAGTTTTTAGTGTGTAGTAGCTCGGATTCACCAGGTATGTTTGCTACTAAAATGAAAAAAGAAATTAACTATTATTCTCCATCATGCTTCAGTGACTAGATCTCTACCTCTGATTCGTGTCATCGAAGGTCAAGTAGCTGTCAGTTCGGTTCCATTACAAATGTAAGCATCTCCTTCGTAGTCGATCATTTGTAATCCTATCTTAACTATTCTATCTTCGAACTAGGCTAATTTGTACATATCAACCGGCACCTGGAGCTTGCAGCACTAAACCTAAAATTATTGGTACGAGATAAATTTAGAAATCAATCTCAATATGATCTACTCTCTCATTGGGCATTTTACCTGGTATACAGCGTACTGAACGAATCGTTGCTACTGTGTACTGTACTGATGATTACATCACTGAATTCATTACTAATTCTCCTCTGTATATCGCGAAAACAACCATAGCTACTGTGATCATCACGGCTTCAAAAACAGGCTCTGCTTACAATTCTAGTAGTTTTTCTGTGTTGCTCCTATTGACCAAAATCAAATGACTGGTTCTCAGCATTGTATTAACTTTGTTGTTGGTTATCTCATATCGAATCTTGTAACTCCAGCACTTGCACAAGGCCGTTATCAGTTTTGATTTCCTCATGTTTTCGTAAAAGGAATCTACTACTTTTAGGCTCAGCTTCGCCATTAGGTACTGTTTTCTCGAATCAATCCTTATTTAGTATTCAAGGTAAGCTATGCTTCTTCATTGTTTCGAGCATGCATGTTCTATTGCATGTTTATTACAGCGGCAAGTGCTGTCTATCGCTCTAGTCGAAATGGATCTCCAGAATCAGATCCCATTACAAGTAACCTTCTTATAACAAGGAAGAAATATATAATCGAAGGTTTTATTTCCCTTATAATAGATACAAGCTATTGGAATTTTAATATTTGGGATCCATCAGTAACAAGTACTCAGACTACAACAACAGCTCCACCAACTACTGGTACAATAACAACGCGAGTAAGCCCAGAACCTGTTCTTACAAAACATGTGGATTGTATTTTCACAAATATTATTACGACTAGGGTCTGTCGACTACGACTCCGAATGTGAATTTAACTACGCGTTTCATTATTCGTTTTAGATGTAACGCAGACCACGCCAACAACGACAGTTACTGAAATGTATATTTGGCCACCAAAGCCATTTGAAGAATATTGTAAACAACCTGTTGCAATAACATCTGCTGCATGCATGCTGGTGATGAATGTAATAAACATGATAGGAATGTTTACTTCTTTTTACAAAGCGTATGAATGCAAAAGTACGACATCGACAGCATTTGACTCGTATGCATCACTAGTGTTAAAAATGACGCGTATAAAATGTTGAAAATCATTCGCACACTCTTAATAAAATTGACGATTAAGTTCAACAATAAATGTTGCCCTCAAACTATTGTAAAAGATACCTGTAAAATTTTACTACTTCAAAATTGATCTATCAGTAAAATGAAAAATAAAATTTTTAGTTACGGACAAACAATAAGAATAGTTTTCCCGCAATATGAATTCTCACTTTCTTTCATAGATATTCTAAATCAGAATATTTTTTTGTATATTTTTTCCGTTACAGTCAGCTTGCATGCTCTGAAATATTGAAAAACAATATGAATCATAATATACTTTTCATGACCTTCTTTCTTTCCTTCGGCAGTATACAAGACACTTCACGCGCTCGTTGTAGAAATCATCGACCGTATCTTTACTAGTAAAAAATGTTTGAGTCACGTACAAAATGTGAATACAAGCAAGACTTACCAAAAATGAACACCCGAGTAATGTGTATCGACATCTAATCGAGTGAAGTTTTAGCAGCGACCTCACAGCAGGAGAAAGAGCTATTAGTTATCAGTCAATTTTACTTAATTAATCACTAGATTAGAATATTATTATTTTTCTACCTGTTGGTAACTGTACTGTTGGATATTCCTTTTTCATTTTTAAGATAAAAAATATTTTTCAATAGACAATGAAACAGATAACGCTACTGAATACAATCATTATCAAACACTGAGTTATAAATATTCAATACAACATCAAACATTGAATCATAACTTAGAATGGGCATATCATATTCATCTGCTACCGCAATTTTTCGTAGTAGTACCCATAAAACTGAATCTCGTGATGTCATAATCGGTCGACCTGATTTAAATACTGTTTGGTATCCACAAAACGTTACTTGTAATCAAAAATATAACATAATAACTTTTATTCCACTTGTACTTTTTGAACAATTTAATGTATTTTTTAATCTTTATTTTCTTATTATGGCATGCACACAATTCGTTCCCTCGCTACGTATAAATTATTTATATACATATTGGGTACCACTGAGCTGTGTCACATTTGCATCTATGCTACGTGAAGGATACGAAGATATTAAAAGGGCATATCGTGATAGAGAAATCAATTCTCAACGATACACATTGTTAACTGAAAATGGACACCGTGAAGAAATATTGAGTTCCGAAATAAAAGTATCTGATATTATTATTCTACGAAAAAACCAGCGTGTACCTGCTGATATACTTCTCTTACAAACATTAGACAAATCAGGTAAATATAAAGAGCAAGCATAGTTTGTCATTGTTTATTCGGTTGCTGATTGTAAATCGCTCAAAGTTCAATACATAAACACCACTATTGGTTTTTAAAGAAAACTGAATAGAACCTATCTTAATCGATTTCTTTTAGGTACGTGCTTCATTCGAACTGATCAACTTGATGGTGAGACCGATTGGAAATTACGCATTGCTACTCCCATGACACAGTCGCTCGAGGATATTTCTATTTTAATATCGGATAAAAATCAAGCAGTAAAAATTCATTCAGAACCGCCCTGTCTGAATATTCAAGAGTTTAATGGTGTATTATCTTGGAAAAGTGAGGTACCACTTTCTGTTGAAAATATGCTCTGGTCTGGTACAGTTATTGCAACAGGCGAAGTGATAGGTTGCGTAATCTATACGGGTACTGATACGCGTATGGCTTTGAATACAAGTAAACCGCGCCATAAATTCGGTTTAGTTGATAAAGAAATAAATACATTTGCAAAAATTTTATTCCTTGGATCTGCCGCCTTAGCATTGGTTTTGGTTATACTGAAAGGTTTCGATGGATTATGGTATCGACATTTTGTTCGTTTTCTACTTCTTTTCTCTTACATGATACCTATTAGTCTTCGTATTAATTTGGATCTGGGTAAACTAGTTTATTCGTGGTTCATTCAACAGGATAAGGATATTCCTGGTTCAGTTGTACGTTCAAGTACTATTCCGGAAGAATTAGGTCGTATTGGTTATCTTCTAGCCGATAAAACAGGAACATTAACACAAAATGTAATGGTTTTTAAACGTTTATATGTGGGATCAGGCTCATATACGATTGAAAATCGAGGCCAAATTTCAAGATTACTTAAACAGGAATATGCAAAACCTACACTGGCACGATATGAAAGTCAGGAATCACTTGCTACATCGGCATTACCATTTGGTAGAAAACGCAAAATTGTGAAAATCACAGAAGCACTTAGAGTCACCGAAACTATCAAAGCGTTAGCTTTGTGTCATAACGTAACACCAATAGTTGAACAATCAACATCAGCATCGTTTGATACATCGACAAAATACGACGATGAATATCATTCAACATCAGATACACCAAGGACAAGTGTTACATCATTGAATACAACAGTTGGATCCGATGTCTTAGAATTATTATCAGCAACAGGTGAATTGAATTGAATAGATTACTGAAATATAGAAGAGAGAAAATCAAGTCTATGAGTTCTCTGCTACTCCGTCATTCAATAACTAGCTACTCCTTACAATGAAATGCATATAATGTCGTTTGCTTCTTCTTAGAATAGTTTTGGAAGCATTGTTCTTTGTCTACAATTTATTCTATAAATTGTTATTAGAACAACAGTGTTTCGTTCCCTATTATCGAGCCCTGACGAAGAGCAGTAAAAATAATACATTATGTGTAGTGAAACTGTGAAACAATCGAAAATGCAATTTTCTTCTCTTTACAAACAAAATCTCATATTTATAAAACTTCTACATGCATAAAGTATTACACTGACTAACTTAATCTTTCTATTTTCTTTTCCAAGCTATTTCTTATCAAGCATCAAGTCCCGATGAAATCGCTATTGTTGATTGGACTGAACGAATCGGTCTAACTCTTGTTCATCGTTCGTTGAAATCGATGACACTAAAACTCAATTCTACGGAGCAACTATTTGATTATGAAATATTACAATTATTTCCATTTACACCTGAAACAAAACGAATGGGAATTATTGTACGCGATGAAAACACAAATGAAATCATATTTTATCTAAAAGGTGCCGATACAGTTATGCAAAACATCGTGCAATACAATGATTGGCTACAAGAAGAATCTTCAAATATGGCTCGTGAAGGTTTACGTACATTAGTGATTGCGAAGAAACTGTTAACACAAGAAAAGTATCAAGAATTCGAACAAAAGATAACCAAAGCACGTTTACAAACAATTAATCGCAGTCGTTATGTCAGAGAAGTCATTGAAACACTGGAATGTGATATGGAATTATTAGGTGTTACTGGTGTCGAAGATAAATTACAAGTGGATGTTCGACAAACACTAGAAAGTTTACATAATAGTGGAATTAAAATTTGGATGTTAACAGGTGATAAATTAGAAACAGCCACATGTATTGCTAAAAGTTCGAAACTTATCCGACGTAATGATGATATCTATATAATGAAACAAGTAGCAACACGTGAAGAATGTTTACAAGAACTAAATATTTTTAAACGCAAACTAGATGCTTGTCTAGTTATAACTGGTGATGCATTACAAATTTGTTTATCTTTCTATGAAAAAGATCTGATGGAATCAATCATTGAAAGTCCATCTGTCATTGTTTGCCGTTGTTCACCAACACAAAAAGCAACTGTGACTGACTTATTGAAAAAATATCGTAATAAAAAAATTCGAGTTTGTGCGATCGGTGATGGAGGAAATGATGTTAGTATGATTCAAAGTGCGCATGTTGGCATAGGAATTGTTGGGAAAGAAGGTAAATTATCTTTTCGCTTTGAAATTCTACTTCTTTTTGAAAGTTACCTACAATATTATGTTGAATCTTTGTTTCAGGTAAACAAGCATCTTTAGCAGCTGATTTTTCCATCAATCAGTTTTCCTATTTAACTCGTCTCTTATTTGTACATGGCCGTGATAGTTATAAGCGTACGGCATCTCTATCACAGTTTATCATTCATCGTGGTGTTATAATTAGCGTTATGCAAGCAATATTTTCTTCAATATTTTCTTTTATTGCTATATCACTTTATCAAGGATTTTTACTTGTTGGTTACGGAACAGTATATACAATGTTTCCAGTCTTTTCACTTGTATTAGATAAAGATGTACCTGCAGATATTGCGTTACTTTATCCAGAATTATATAAAGAATTAGCGAAAGGAAGAAGTTTATCATTGAAAACATTTTCTCTTTGGGTTCTTATTTCAGTTTATCAAGGCAGTGCAATTATGTATGGTGCATTCGTGCTATTTGGCGATGACTTTATTCATATTGTTTCTATCACATTTACTGCATTGATTCTTACAGAATTACTTATGGTTGCGCTAGCGGTATGTATTCATTTAATAACTCTAAATGAAATATATAGAGTCTAGTCAAAAGTGATTATTTGATCGGATTTTATTGACTATCTGTAGACTTAAGTACATTAATAATGCAGCAGCAATTGCGAAGAGTTGATTATATCAGTAACAAAACACGGAGCATCATCTGATCTACAAAAACAGTTTATTGTAGTGATATAATTCGATGTAAAGAAAAAAAGTTTTATGGACGTGCATAACTCATTAGTTCAATCAGTATAAATTAGATGTAATTAAGGAAATGTATCACCTTTAAGACGACTTATCATACCAGGAAGCTTTCTCTCGTAGATGGAAACTACTGTATTTCACCATAAAAAAAAATGTTTATCACTAGATTGATATATTAAGCTCCATCGAACTTTTGCGTTTGATTTCTGAGAATGCTTTTCAAGGCTATAAATCAAGAACCAAAGCATAGAATTGAATGCCTCGTAAATTTTGCTCCAATAATAAGATTATTTTTTGTTAAATAGATTCGAACATGGCATACATTAATGGTTGTCGGCGAATTCTTAAGTTTTACCTGTTATATACTCTCAATAGTTATTTTTCAAAATCATTTTGATATTCGATTTCTGGAATCATGGTCTTTCATATGGCGTGTTGTAACTATTACAGCCATATCATGTTTACCACTTTATATTCTCAAATATATGCAAACACAATTTAAACCACCAATTCATGAAAAATTGAAGCAATATTCCACACTTAAATAAATGATGAATATCATTTTCGTTTGTGTTCTCTTTTAAGTATTTTTTTATTGTATTTTATTCATTGAAATATAGGCAGACTACCGAATAAAAAGTATCCAAGTGACTTTTTTAAGTAGAAAAAGATAAACTGTAATCGATGAAAATATAACAGTTAATTATTATTTATTTCAGTTAGCTCAATATTTGCCACAGATGAAATTTTGAAATACAAATGTTTATCTTGATTCAAAACATATCACTCATATTTAAAAAATAGTCAATTAATGCCAACCGAGCTTCTATTTCGAATCCGATGATCATCGCGGAAAACTATTTTTCATTAACTGCATAGTCTATAATCTTTTTTCCATTGGAAGATATTGACTTTCTTGACACAAACGAAATCATTTTTATGGAACATTTATACACTTTTATGATAATAACTATCATGTTAGTGCTAGCATTTTCTAATTATTTAGCGAACAAAATCAATTAGATTTGTATTCAATGACTAATCGAATAAAAAAGAGATAACGTTGACATAGGTAATGAAACACAAGACACATACTATTCTATTTTGATAGGATCAAATAATTGCACCTATGTGGCTCATGATTTTTACTAGTTGAAAACAAATCTGACATTAGGAAGTTAGCACATCAACGAAAAGCAATGAAGCATGATAGAATATATCTTGCTGGTGGTAGACAGGCATACAAGTATTTTTGCTACAAACACGTTTATTCGTCGTTCTTTTCTTCCTATTTTATTCGCTTTATTATTTTCTCAATATGTAAATTCATGTAAAAATTTTCTTGCCCAATATTGTATTGATATTGCCATCGGATCTGATTCCATATCAAACATAAAATGTGTTCAACTTGTTCCCGTTGAATTAGATCCATCATTTATCTATCCGGTAGAAAATTATATTGTTAAAAAAGGTTATACATGCTATGATATTTTTACATTTGATTCACCAGCAACAACAATTTTTTCTAATGAATGTCGTGAACAATGTCCGGAAGAGTATTGTCTTCTGTTTGATAATCAATCCAATAGATCGATTAGAAATATATTTTATCCAGAATCATCGGACGATCAACTATTTAATCTTGAAATTAATAGTAGTTCATCCTATGATTATCTCCTATTTGACAAGTGTAGCGCAAGCAATCGTACTAATCAAATATTACTTATCGTTGTTTGTGTACTTGTTGGTTTTATTGTTGTATTAACAATAGCCATTGTTTTCAAATATGTAATCAGCGCTAGATACAGAAGACGACCTGAAGAATATGAACCATACAATTGGCGATGGTTGGTTGATTTGTTTTTGTGTCGAACTTCGGAAAACAAATCGATATCGAATAGACACGAGAGAAATATCAATAATTCAGAGGTATTCGATCATTCTATTCAGGGGAACATTGACGAACAAGAATCTTATTCAAGAAACAAGTCTATTAATACAATGCCACCATATACGATCAGTGACGGTAGTTCGAATGACACGCGAGAACGATACAACAATAACAGTCATTCAACAACTGACCATAGCTCGGAGGAACCTACTCTTGCTGTTTCACCTATGACAATTAGGTTAAATGCAGTTATTCGTAACGATGAAGCATCCATTTATGTTGAAAAGGATGACGATATTAATGATTTTCCAGAAACAACTGAAAATCATTATCATTCGTCATTACCAGTTCTAATTCAAAAATTATCATCTGGAGCTCATCAAACTGTATCATTTCATTATCATGCAGAAGGATATCACAAATTGGATAAAGATTCATCTATAGAAATTATTACTACCAGACACTAAAAAGCTCTTTCTTTTTTAATCAATAACCACCATCATATAAAGCTTTTTATTTTCGAAGTAAACTAAAAAGGAGTAAATATAAATTTAAGAATTTTAAAGCCAGGGAGTGATGTCATAATCCCATTACACCGGGTAACGATTTTTTTCTCCATACAAGCATACCTTAAACATTGCGTGTATTACTCCTAGCTTATCCACTTCGATATCTTAACAGAGATACAGCGAAACGATACAAATTTCTATGCGATCCTAAATTCGAATTTGAACATGGATATAAGAAAGGCAAAAATCAAGAGTTCTACGAGCATGTCTTGAATTACTGACTTAGATATGCTGCTGGAGAGTACGAGTAGCGGTTTGGATTTAAGCTATTTTCAGCGACACACTCACACCTTTTCTTTCTGATTCCAATACAAAGGCTAATAGAA